GGGTTTTGGGACAAAGTGATCGATTCGTCGAATCGATCGAGGATTTGGGCTTTCAGGCGCAAAGCTACTGCGCGACTGAGGATTTGGGAGCGGTTTTGCGCCCAAAATGCCGTGAAAGAATTGTAAACAAATTGTTCAGTGGTCAGTGGTCCAACAAAAACAAAGTTCCAGCGGTTGGAACAAGGGATGGTGAAGCATGGTGAACCCTGAAGAAACCTATCAAAGTGCGTTTGAACAGTGTCCAAAGTGTTCTTGTTTGTTTTTGTGATTGCGGCCAGGCCTCTTTGAAAAGGGGGGTGATGTATCAATACTGTCAGTAATATCATTAGTATCATTTACATCATTTTCAGACTCCCGTGTGGTCCTATTGCTTCACATGCAGAGGGACCTTGTCCTTTGGCAATGCAAAGAACAATATGATAATTATATATGAGCAGTCCTAGGCGGCCATCTTGGCAGCCAGATGTAGTGACACATGTGGACACCTTGATGTCTAAAAAGGACCATGCTTCATGCTTTGGGGCTCGGCTTGTTTGGGTTGACGCAAGGCTCATGGTGCGGAGGCTGGAGACGCAAGACTTGGCGTGTCGGCTGTTCACGCATTTCGCTGGTTGCAGGATCTCGTTTGTAGTCGAAAGAGTTCCCCGATGCATCGAGTCAGAAGTTTGGGTGACTAGAATCGCCAAGACTCAATGACCCATAAGTCTTAAACAATGCCCTCCCTGCAAAAAAGGGCAGTGGACCATGGCCCCTGGAAAGACCATGAAATCCTTAAGCAAGCAGGGGCTTGTCCACATGTTGATTGCAGGGAGGGTATCAATCAGAGAAAAGCATGTTCATTGTAATTTACTTACTTGCCTTCGGTGAAGAAAATTGATTTGCAATCTCCGGAGCCTGGAAGACATGGCACTCAAGAGGTATGGATAGACCCTCACTTTGGGGTGAATCAACCGGGCAGCCTTCCATCTCCCCAAGCCCCCAGATTGCCATATAGGACACAATATGTAAATGTATGTAATATATTGTATGTCTTTCATGTTTTTTTCACAATACATCCCTGTTCTTTCCATGTTTTGAACCCACCGTTCTGCGACCTCTCTGTATGGCCCGGTGTTTGACACACCGGATCCCTGGCAAGGCTCTCCGTTGCTTGCCGCGTGGCTTCTTCTCCCGCCCCCTTTGCCAGCCGAGCGTGTGCGCGGAAGCGCCGCTCGATGTGCCGCACGCGGAGAAGCTGGGAAGCTGCAAAGGCGTGTCCCGGTGGTTCGAGTTATTGACGACTGAAAGCAAAGTGCAACATTATGGTCTCCTTGTTTTTTTCTCAAGTTGGCTGGTCTTTTCCCAAAAAACTTTTGGAGGTTGAAAGTGACTAGTGACACGGGCTCAACAAACATTAAAGAGCCGAATAATTTTACGCATGTGGTCGATCAACAAGAACTTCCCGTCACGCTGCAGCATGTTCTTTGAATGGCCAGGCACCGCTAGTGGTGGCATTTGTCGCATTTCCTGCCTGGACCTCAGCACAAAGTGAGTTTCGCAACACACGGTCAAGTCATGAAGAAGTTCGAGATGTTAAACGGATGTTGGAACATGGGATTTCTACACATCTCTAGCAATTTGTATCTCTTTTTCTCCGGTTCGGTGTCGGAGCGCAGGTGAGCCAGGTTATGCCCCGGTCGCGGCCTTGCACTGCCTGACTGGCGCCTTCATTCACACCAGCTGTGAGCCTTTGTCAGGTCGAGCTGCTTTGGGTTGAAAGGGTTAGAAGCCGTTGGCTTCCTGAATGAGCGTAGTGCAGAAGCATGCAGAAGCCCAGGTGTATGCTTTTTGGTTTGTTTGCATTTTTTTGCTCAAAGACTGAATGTCAGGAAGCACCAATTGGTACCTTCATTTTGAATCTGAGCAGCGAGTCCATTGTGGGCAAAGCAATGGCTTTAAAATGGTAGACCCCGGGCTGGACGAGTTTCAGGCCTAGCTTGAAGAAATTGATGTCAGCTCGAGAAAAGTCTTTGCAGGCCCACTGTCGCTGGCCTTGGATGAAACCATGCTCCTGGCTGTGCACTTGCGTTTGCCGTATAGCAGCTGGGAGAACCTGCAGGCTGGTCATTTGTACTTTGCCACCGTTGTTGACAGAGCTTTGGGAAAGTAGGAGGCGACGAGGCAGGAGACTTTGAGAAAATAGTCTGAGCACATTTGCCCAATCAAAAAGGGGAGCACTTCCAGAAACTCCTTGTGTTAGGGCCGGTCTAAACTCCTCCTGTGGAGTCAATGTATGGTGTTCGCCTGTCAGAGAGAATTGCTGCAGATGATATGCTGCTCAGAACTCTCCTAAAGCTGTTGCTTGGTGAGGTGCAATCTTCCACGAAAACGCTGAGGGCTTTCGCAATCCCTCCGCAAAAAGCTTGATCCCCACTAGTTGAGACTGATATGTTTTCAACTCACTACCCCTCATGGTTTCGGGTGCTTTTGGTTTGTGCATGCTTGTTCTCCCGTAGGTGAACCACCCGAAGCTCCGCAGCGCCCGCTTGGCGCGCGCCTTATCCAAGCAGTGTGGCTTGCCGAGTTGGCGCCTGGTCGCCAAGGCATCAAGGCGAGACAGGGAGCGAGTGAAACCGGGGCCCTTTCGAGCGGGGCTGTCGGTTTTTAGAGCCATTTCGAGTTGGACTTCAGAGGAAGAAGAAGTCACTATTCTTGGATACCAAAAATCCAGTTTGAGATGTGGTCATGTAGACTTTTGAGTCTATTCAACCCCTTACATGACGAGGTTGTACAATCCATGATTGGCGGTTTTTTTTGATCCGCTTGTTGTCCTGTGTTCCCCGTCGCGGTGTGTTTGCGAAGAATGAAGTTGCAGATCAACAAGACTGGTTTCATCATGGTTCTACATGCTGACACAGGTGCTTTTCGGATTTAAAATAGGTTCTCAAAGAACGATTAGCTTCCAAGAGCAGCATTAAGAAAGAAACCACTCCTTCTCCATATGAAATCACATTTAGGGACCAGGGATTTGCTTTTGGCACATAGCTCAACTAGCAGAAACGGCTGTCGTGTTGCTTGGTAAGTCAGGGCAGACCATACCAGCAGAGGGTGATGATGCAGGCGGCTGCATTTCGTGATGTTCAGAGAAATGGATGGTTCGTTCGTCAACATCTTCGGTTGGACCCTTGGGGATGGAAGAGAGATCAACGGGGGAATGAGCCCCTAGTAGCGTCCTTGCTCCTAGTAGTAAGGCCAGGAGCCCATATGAGCCCCTAGTTACCTAGGCTGGTGAAGATGCAAAAGCTGCTCGTCCAGCGTGTCCAGGCCCTTCTCCATGACAAGTACCGTCTTGGATCTTCTTCTGCAAAGCTGGCTGATTTACATTGCGTGGAAGGGGCACTCCTTCCTCAACTTTTTTGTGTGATGTGCCTGGCCAAAAAAATGGATATATGGAGAGAGGCTGGCGAAGAAATGACTTCACAAAAAATGATTACAGCAGTGAAGTGAGCTGCATAGACAAAAAAGGAATAGCTTGGAACACTTGGCGAAAGGTAGCTGTGGGGATGTCAATGGAAATGGAAAGAAGATTTCTTACAATAACAAAAACTGGAAAACATATTGTCTCGATGTTGTTTGGTGTCTCATGTGAGTCCTCACTGGAAGCAATCGTCCCAAAATGACCAAAGCACCCTCCGAAGAAGGCGACTCTTCTCAATGCAGCTCTTGTGGCGGCTTGTGGAGATTCTCCAAAGCCGGCGCCAAGTAATCAAGGCACCTCAAAAATGCCAGAACGATGGATTTTCGGGGTCAAGAACCAGAAGGTTAAATTGTATTCTCAAGCATTCTCAAGCTATATGTGTGAAGGGGCCGGATTGCACGAGTTGCCATAGTCCAACCAGACAAAGGATTTACCGGAGGACACACGGACCGTGCTTAAAACCCCGCCGATGAAATCTTGAGCTTCGGTCTGTCATCCCGGCGCCTCAAAAGTCAAATCATGAAGTTCCCAAACAGCACTTGTTACTACTAGCGTGGCACTTGTTACTAATAGCTTCTTGTTACTACTAGTAAGGCACTTGTTACTAGTAGCGTGGCACTTGTTTCTCCGGTCTCGCCGTGAAAAAATTTCCCAACCCAACTGCCAGGCTCCCAGCGAACTTCGGGGCCCATCAGTATTCCAACAGTCACGCGACCGCACATGGCTAGGCCAAAGTGTCAGCATTAAAGCCTCTAGTGTGGGATGTTGCGTCGTTTGCCGATTGAGAACACTTGAATGTGAGGTATTGATTGTCGGGTTTAGGGTTCCTTTTGGTTCAAGTCATGTCCCGCTTTCCATCATACAAACTGGGAGGTTGACGTAAAGTGATAGCTGGATGTTTCCCCCATCGTTTGTAACATAATGGAAGGACATTGAGCCACCCCTTACCTGCCAGACAAGAATCATGTCAAATGGATTTCACCGGCCAAGAAATCTTTGCTGTCGATGTTGCACTCAACCCATGCATTAACACCAACAGCGTGCCAAAGACTTGTGTTTCAGAATTGGCTCCCCTCTTTGGGACGATTTGACTGGTGTCTCCTCCACCGTGAAACATGTACTGACAGCAAACTGTCAATCATCCAAGTTTGATTGCGCATGTTGAACTGCTCAACCAAAATGTTGATACGGCGGTTTCTGACATTCGCAACCCTAAGCCCCCAAGACAAAAGTGGTCGCTCCAACGAGAAGTCGTGTTGCCCAGTGTCCGCGGCCCAAGCACTGCAACGTGCTAAGCTGGCGCTGCTCCTTGGAACAAATGGAGGTCGCGATGGAGACCTGGGTCAATTTGGCGAAAGAAATACATCACAAGACCTTCGGAATTTGGTCAATTTGTCTATAGGCCTCTCGCCTTTTCACTACTAGAAGGGTGCATTCCCCCCCATGTATTTGGAGTGATCAAAGTGTTGATGTTTGGATGATTTCGTCACGGAGATGAGTGATCAAAGGTCTTGGTGAGTGGAGTCATGAAGTGATCGATAAACAGCTTGAAGCCTCCAAGCCTCCAACACAAAGGAGAACTGACTCAGTGAAGTTAGAGTCTCAGATACCATGGGGCAGGACTTCGGAGTTTTCCACCAATCTGGGAACTCATTGGAATGCCAAAAAAACTCTCTGTGTTTCACATGCCCAAAGCCTATCCACCAAAACCAAAAAAGCACCGGGTTCCTTTGAAGTGCACAAAAACAATTCCTATCTGGGTCATTGCTTTTTGTCCACCATGCCTGTGGCCCTCTTCCCACCGTCAGGAAGGTGCCTGAGAAGCTGCTCAGGCAGGTCTTGCTGCTTGGCATCGAAGGTTGCCACCAAGTACAGGTGGTGAGCGTGGATGGCCTTGGTTGGTTGATCAATATAGGGAATACCCCCAAGGATACAACCAAGGTATGTGATGCCAAAAGGACATCATTGGTGATGAGCATCCACTGCCAGTGCTTCCCAAACAGAACATCGCAGTCTTCTGGAATGGGGAGCAGATTGGATAGTCCAGGCTTGTCCCTGGAGTGTTATTTCTTGAATCTGTTTGAAGCATTCGGCGACAGTCGCTGCCTTCCAAAGGAAGTGATTCTGGGGTGCTTTGCGCGCATCTTCGGTTGCCCAGGTCCTTCCCTGGCGGAAAGGAGATTGGCGTCGAGCGATTGGAGGTGGCGATGGCCTCAAAACATTGACAGAAGTAGTTGCTGTCGATTGCCACTTGAGATGTTCACCCCAAGCACTGCAATATTAAGATCAATTGTAAGTGAAAGATAGAAAAAATCAACTCGCTACATTAAACGCCATCTTTTGGGGCAACAAGCAAGTGGCCGCAGTGACGGTTGATCCACGAAGACAGGCGGAGCCACAGATGACTTCCATAGGACTCCAGTGCCAAGACAACCTACCAAATCCAAGAAGCAGAAGTATGAAGAGCTGAATGTCCCCGAGCAAATTTGTTTGCTTTTCTAGTTTCACAAGACCGGGTATGTCTTGGTTGATCATCAAGGTGTTACTGAGTTAATCCTGTGGAGCATGTGCGAGTCCACAATCCTTCATCAGAAAAGATTGAAAAGACTCGTGGTTCCTTTTGAAGGTGTCAAAGGTGATGAAAGGGGTGAAAGGCTTACACTCCGACTCACTAACACGGAAGTGAAACATTGCCTTTGGAAAGACAAATTATTTTCCTCTACACAACCAGGATGATTTCCACTTCCTTGTTGGTGAGTGTGACCGTTGAAACCCGCTCATTGAAGCACATCGAGAGACACTCCAAGAAACTGCGTGGTGTCGAGGTGAGTCGCACCGTGGGGAGGTCGGCAACTCAGCTCCAGAACACCGAATAAAGATGCCCAGTATCTTTCAGTATCTTTCAGGATGCCCAGAACCTAAAGCACTTAAGGATGTGTGTTCATCCTCCTGTGGTCGAGCACGCCCACGATCTCAGCCCATGTGTTCGGGCCTCCCAGCGGACGGAAACGCTGCAGACCTCAGAACCGAAGTCGGCGAGATGGACCGCAGAGGTCACTGAGGCCTCATGTGAGGGGAATGTGTCCGATCTTCGGGGAAAAGAAAGGCAGGGTGAAGTTCCACATCTATTCCCATCTATTGAGACGGAAGGTTGCATGCAACCGGGTACGAACAGAAGTTCCACAAGCTCTCACAGCGCCTATGCAGACAAGAGCTGTAGATGTTGATGATATTTGTATAGATATTTGTATAGATATTTGTAGGTTTTTTGAAAGGCTAGGGATCGTTGGATCAAGATGAACCACAGCCAGTGGAATCATTGAGCCACTCCCGAATCGCTTCGCCAGTTCCACTCTTTTTTGGGTCGGCCCCAGCTTTTCTGCGCGGTGAGGCGTTTACCTTGAGTGGTCACCTGTGCCCCTTGGTCTGTGAGGCCGGCTTTGCCTCTTGGACGCAGTTCGGTCTTTCGGGTCCACAGGACAGGTGTGAGGCGATTTGCAGCACAGCTGGGTGGATGGAGTTCTCCACTTCGGTCAACGGCCGCTCAGCGGACGGTCTAAGGTACATAGTGGAAGCCTGGCGTGCCAGGATGGAGTCGGGGTGCCCCAGGATCCTTCGGCTGGATTCGCTGCGGGTTCAGTTTTCTTCATTGAACGAGATGTAGAAACTCCGCAGTGCCTTAGTGAGCAAGCCCTTCGTGAGGAACCCTCAAACCTGAAATCCAAGTATGTGAATCCAAATGGGACGGATATCCTTTTGACAATGGTCAAAAAAAGACTTTTGTCCTCCATCACAGTCCTATAGAAGCTTGGATAACTACCAGCTTGTCAGCTTGTTTGCTCCTTTTACATGTGTATACATGGCCCACGGCATTTGTTCCAGGATTCCAGGTTCACGCGCAACCACTCTTCCGCACCTAAACTTTCCTCTCATTTCAAGATATTAGAAGCCTTGTAGAACATTGTAGAAGATGATGTAAAACATTGTAAAATGCAGTTGTGTACCCTTTGTGCGGGCCATCCATACCTTTCACTACTGGAGCTCGTGGTCGCTTGCGGTCGCTTGCGGCTTGCTTGCGAAACCGTTACGGGATGTCCTCATCTTCAAGTCAAATGGGTTGCAGCTGTTGAAGAAAGAAACCTGAAAGACCACCATGAGAAGAGGAAAGCACTGTGTTTGTATGTAATTTGTCCAGTCTCCTCTATTGCCCAGTAGTACAAGTTGCCTTCAGAGGAAAATCAGGCAGGAAAGATGGGGTGTAAGCTTTGTGATCAGCTGGCTGCCACAGCAACCCAACCGACCTTCGTCCGCAATTGTGACATGGTTTTGGGCTCTTGGAAACTTGAGGAATGGTTGCGTCCTCACTGCGCCGTGGCCTAAGCTCTTTGCATAGAATGTGATTCAACACCATGGAATGGTCTGGCCACAACTCGGCACAATCGTGTTTCTTGGGCTTTGGGGACTCCAGCTCGATGAGCACTCAGACTCAGATGAAGAAGTGGCCACAGGGATGGATGTGGGGGGGGGTACTCCCTAAAGCTAAACCTTCCTGGAAATTGTGCGATGTCCTAGAATTGAAGAACAGGTGGTTGTGAAGTTCAAACACTGTCTAGTTGCTGGTTGTTTCTTCTTTATCTTCAATCTTCACCTGGGATGATATGGGATGATTATAAAATCCTCAGCTAGGAATCACCGAACTTTGGGAAGATTTTAGAAGCGATTCTTGCTTGAACATCATAGTTGTTCACCCGAAAAAACATAGAAACAATCCATCATTGTTGGACGCATTCTTGGTGTTTTACGTGGCTTGGACATCGTCGCTTCTTGCCGGCTAATGTGAAGACAAAAAAACAAGATGCCCGGTCCTTCCCGGCCTCCAACCTAATAGCAATGGCCTCCAACCTAATGCATGTACATCATGGTATGTAAGAGTATGATTATGTATGGACCAAGCGATCCTTGCCGAACGAGGAAGAGATCTCCTGTGACAAAAAGCCAGATGTGGAGAATGCCGAGGAGCCGACCTGTGCGGTATCAAAACCGACATTTCTTGGGGCGGTGTGGGCCGAAATCCGCACTATTGTTCACGGAAACACCCATATAGAATCTTGGGAATCTTTAATCTTTGCACCTATGGAGTCGGTGCAACTTTGGAATCTGGGTTGTGGCCGCAGCAACTGTGACACGCAAGATGTTGCAACGCGTGGGCAAACTGTCTCATTTTTTGCTGGTGCCCCTGAATCGGCTGTTGGGGTGTCCAAGGAGGTGTGGTATTGTGTGCGGTTTGGCCATCAACTGCTGGTGTCATAGTTCAACTAGAAGCATCTGGAATCTAGAAGCATGTAGGGATACATATGAGCTCTCAAGAGATCTTCAAGAGGTGTTCCCCCAGCCAAATCAGTCAAAGCCACCCAGCAGGACCTCTCGCATTGCGCCAACAGCGCTTGGTGCTCAGAGCGCCCAGTGTGTGGAAGCCACCCCACTGGTCCACGCGGAGAGCGTCAACATGAACGAAGCACGCAAAAAGGTGCAAAAAGTGGAATCCATGAAGCTCGCATACGTGACCACCATTAAATTCAGACACTTGTGGGATGTAGTTAACATCCTTCAAACATGAACAAAAATGGTTGGTCAATCCCAAATGGGTAGTAACACCGGTGATAACTGTAGAACTGCGAGTGAGCGTGTGTCAACGGGGTGCCGTTTCTTCCCCGCCGCATGTCCAAGGCCTCGGGGTCGCTGTGCGGCTTGGAGTGCCAGGCAGGCTATCTCAGGCGTGGCGGCCACGGATGGTGTTTGAAGGAATTGGTTTTTCCGTCGATTGGTTCAGGAAACAAAAAGGAGGATCACTGATGGGAGGGCATTGAACCAGTCGACTAAGGCATTTGATGTCAAAAGTTTGGAGAACTTGACACTTTGAGAATTTCGGAGTTACCGCTTACGGTTCAAAGCGAGGGAGGGCCAGCAAAGTGCGTTGGACTTGTATTGAGATCAGAACATGCTTACAAGAAACGATTGGCTATACACGCTATCAGCTCTCCCTGTGTTAGGATCACGGATGTACTTTGTACCAGCATGCAGCTTCATATATCTCCACATCTAAGCAGATAAAGGGATACACCTGCTAGCTTCCCCGTTTCAAAGATTCCTTCAGCGGCCGTAGAACGAACTGTCGGAGAATTCATTCGCTAATTTGCAGCCACGCTCCAGAAACACAGAGGCAAAGGTCTCATCGATCTCACTCTCACTGAGCCCTTTTCCTGGTGAATCGAGCACCCTCAACTGACTATGATACCGAAAACACCGACACTAGGACTGGTGACCTTGAATGTCATCGAGGTGCTTGGGTGCGCTGCCCAGTTTTTTCAGAGGAAGGGAGGATGGCTCTTCCGGGATTTGAAGACTCCGTCCTTTGAAGGCTTAAGTCAGCCATGACATTCTTGGCCACAGAACGCTCAGCTCCTTCTTTGGAGTGTCCATCCATCGGAAGAAGCCGCGGTGCGCTTCTGAGCCACCGAAGTGCTCCAGTGAGGTCGGAGGAGAATGCCGTCCAAAACGCTGCAGGCATGTGTCACAGACTCAGCTTTTTGGGTCATATTTGAAGAAGTGATTCGTTGGGTTCTTTCTTCAGGATAAGGAGGATAGAGAGAGAGGTGCGTCCGTCAAATTAAGCAAAGGGAAGCAAAGGGTTCAATACTCCAACTAGATCCCCTCATGTCATGTTGGCGAGGATTTCTTTGAGGTGGCTCCATGAATCAACACAGTAGCGCTTGTTTTCCCCACCACACGCCGAATGACGCCGAGGCCTCGTGTGCTGCATGCGGACCAGCATGCCCTGAGCCGGCCGGGGACTCTTGAGAGTTGCCTCCATGTGCGATACCTGATGCTTTGAAAAAGCCTACAAATGGCTTCATCCACAGTCCAAATGATTTAGTCTATACGTGCACAAGACATGATGTCATACTCTCCATAGTGAAGGTATGATGCAGAACACTTCGGAACCCGAAACTGCTGAGATGGCTGAAACGTTCCCATATCCCACATACTTCAAACTGACCCAACCTTCTATATAGGCCCTATAGCCTACAGGTGTGTGTTGAAATGATGGGGGTCCTCCAACCAATCATCAATGAGCTTTTCCAGGTAACTGCTGCTGTGTTTGCTCAGCGCACTCAGATGTGCTCGTGCCTCCAGGTGTCGCAACTTAGAATCTGGCTCTGCCGGGCAACCAAGCTGTCGCATCCGGTCTGGTGAGGAGGGCGGGGCGATACCCTGGGGAGCACGGGGAGTTGGAGGGCCTTTGTCCGGTGTCCCTTCTACAAAGGGTGTTCCGTTTCACGAGTAGCTGAAGGATTTTGAAGACAGATAACTCCAACAAGTGTATAGATGTTGCCTCAAACGTATTTCACCTGCGTTAGACCGTTAGGCCACTTGCTCTAACATGCTCTAACAATGTCCTGCTCAAAGCAATTGAGTGTTGGAGCAGACCATCTCGTCGGCACTGGGCCTACCCTTCGTACGACATTGCCAACCGTGCAACCCATTGGATCCCGATTCTTCGCTTGGTCCTTCGTTCTTTCTGCAGTCCACAATGAACTGCAATTCTTTCTGCACAATGTTGGTGTGCAACCTGCAGAAAACCTGGACTGATTCGTGGAATCCTTTCTCTTATTTGATTCATGCCAAACTCCTTCTTGCTAGGAGTTCATAGGAGTTCCCCATATGAGGGCTGGAAATCATTGATATTTTTATCGAAACCGGCACTGGAAGTCACTTTCAAATACTCAGACTCCTTGCCAGACTCGTAGTTTTGGATACTGCCCGGAATGCACTTTCAATTTTGTCTAAGACTCTTCGGGATTATTGAGACCTGCAGGGTCGACAAGGTCCACAGTAAGCTGCTTGGAATGTAGACCCTACTGTCGCCAGTTTTGGAATGTTTGACACTTTTCGAGCCTGTCGCCCTCATCCACTCCGGGACCGTTCGCCCAGGAATGCACCTTGCAGTGTGAAGCCGGCTTTTTGCCCACAGGTGAGGGGGGGAGCAGGAGCGGTAGAAGCCAAATCAAATGTCAGGAACTTGGAGAGCTCGACCTCATCAGGAAGGAATGAAAGCTATGTCATCTCAAATTGGAATCATTTTCACTTGCAGTGCAGCTTGAAACTTGGCAGAGCACCCATAGTTTTGCCATGACCTGCAGGTACTGGGAAGCTGCAGTGTCATTTGGGCAACTTCAGGTGCAGACTGGAGAAAGAACTCCCGACAAATATTGGCAGTCGAAGAGCAGAACAGGGCAGAGTATGAGTCTTTTTGTGGTCATCCGAAGAAGGGGTAGCCGGGTAGTTCCAAGTGTTTGCCTTCGCACCCGTGACAACGGACTGGCTGCCAGCCCCAACCCCCTTGGAATCCAAGTGAGACCGGACTTAGAGTCTGACTTAGAGGTGGTGATGAGTCCAGCGAAAACGAACGTTGCCCTCCCCACAACGCCTGTTGGAAGAAACGGCAAACGGAAAGAATTTCCCAGAAGCGAGATGAAACAAGAAAGCTTTTTGTGGAAGAAGACGATCGACGGGAGCAGGTTGCAGAGTCTTTGTGAACCAGCAGCTTGTCACCAGATGCCCAAGGTGCATGTGCGATTCGGGACGTTTCTGTCGCACTCAACAGGCCTTAAAAGGCAGGATCATAGACATGACGGAGGGTGCTGGAGACTAGAGCTTGCCACAAGGTGTGATTTGTTTTGACGGGTAATCGAGTGATTGTGTTTTGAGGTGTGTTTTTGGATAAGATTTTGGGCAAGTACCTGACTTCAATCCATACTTATTCAATTTGTGTCCATGACCGAAGGATCCACAACCTGACCGCAGTCTCCTGAATGCCAAACCGTTTGGATGACTTGTGGGAACGAGCCAAATATCATTACACCAGGTCGTTGGATAGTGCATATTTCTTCAAAATCTTATGAATTTTGAAAGGAAGATCTCTCCGATCTCATCCGATCTCAGACTTCGGTTCAATGTTTACCGGAACCTATCGGTTTTGTCGCGGGCGGTTTCTCGGACCGAGCAGGTGCGGAACAGCGCTTCCAACCTGGCAGAGTGCAGTGGCCTGGAGCACAGCACCGTTCGGGGGACCCAGAGGAAGGAAACCATCCGCGCGCTATCGGCGAGATCGGTGTGCTTGCGGTTGGGTTCGGAGGACGTTCGGAGGCGCTTGTAGTGTTTCGCGCGATGGTTTGATATCTTCAGAGTCCGTGCTGAAACCCTCCTTGTTCTTTTGTATTATTGATCTCTTTAGCTTGAACTGGGGATCAAGTTTGGGCATCGCCTCTATCATGTTTTCTCTTTCTTTATGGTTTGGTGCACCTGCACCACTTGTGCTTCAGACCTGCGACTTCAAGTGCTCAGATGGTTACCAGAAGGCCAGCGGGTCGTCCTTGGCACCCTTGGTGAAGTGTTTCTCTCACTCATCAGGCATTGATCCTCATTTTAGTATTGTATAACATTTTGTTGTGTTCGTGGTTCCAAAATAATGGCCGAGGACATGTGCAGCTGGCAGGTGAACTGGTTGATGTGTCCGAACTCACCACCAAGAGCCAAGAGAAAGCATCAAAGAGAAAGCATCACAAGCAAATGAGAACGCTTGAGATACATGCATTGAACATCTGTGTGTGGTTTTGCAGTAAAAAGAAAGGCGACAAACCACAACAACCACTGCGACACGCGTGCGACACCGGCAGGTCGGGATGCTGCAATGCTTCCACGGTCGCTTCACCTCCGCAAGGCCGCGATCTCGGTGCGTTGGTGCCGAGTAGGTGGAGGGGTGGAGGATGGTTGGAGCAGATGTGAGTGTGGTTCGAAGGACTTTTTGAGCAATTCCAATTCTGTGAGATCTGTACGCCGTCGCTTCTGGTGTCGATGAAGTGGAAGAGTCAAAGTGCTTTCCTGTTTGAATATCCACCACATGTATTCTACTTTTGGTCAATTGTAATCTTTGAATCCTCACCCTTCATCATCTTGGAGATGCAAAGTCCTGCTTCTCAACAACCAGGATCCATTGGCATATGCAATGTGAGACAAGCCCCAAAGCCGAAAGAAAGGCTCAAATGTCTCAAAAGGCACAAGCATCAAAGTCTGTGACTGCAGTCTGTGACTTTGATCGCCCGCCCCCCTTGCAAGGTGTGAGCCAGCAGACTGCAAGGACCGTCGAGCTGGAAGAAAATATTGCAAGAGTCAAGTGAGGTAGAAGGGCAGCAGCATTCCTATCGGTCCAAACCAAACCACCCCCAGAACCATATAGGTGAAACAGTCAACACATCAAAAGTCTCTCTTGGAAATTGTTGATCTTCGTGGTCCAAGGGCTAACCAGTGCCTGACAGTTATAGCATGTTATAGCCTTCACCAACTGTCGTCTTCCCCGATTCTTGCAGTTGCATGGGAGTACTCGTGCTAAAGATTCCTGAGTCTTGCTGCTCAGCAACTGTCATCATGCGACGCCTGAGGTGCCTTTGGAAGAAAGCATAATTTAGACCTGTGGCGTTCCGTCAGTCACCAGAAGATCCTGAAGACGGCTGTTTTGGAAATACATGAGTATGGATGGCTCTATTTCGGACCACATTCTACAGGAGTTTACATCCAAATGCCTCATCTTTTGGTCGCATGACCTTCGCAGCTTGGATCAGGAGCCACCCCAGATCGAAGGCCTCTCTGAACACGAGGCTCTCCGCTGTGTGTGCGGACGCCCACTGCATTCGACCGTTTGTGAAAGGCGCCCGCCTTTGGTAGAAGATCGAGCATGCAGTGCAAGCCCCTACGTGTGGGTTCCTTGCGGACACAGTAGGCCCTTATGACTCAAAATAGCAGGCCCTGATGCCCTTACGTGTGGGTTCCATAAGCCTAGATGAGATGACAATGAGTCAAGATGGCAGGCGTGGGTCGGCTATCATGGCAGTGTTCTGAGGCCCCGCCGCTCGGGCCAAAGCTGCAACGCCACCTGCGACTTCCCCATGCGGATGCTGCCGAAGTTGATCTGCAGCTCGGGGGACCCGGAGATCAGGATTCGGGGTATTCGGTTGATGTGGATGTCATCATTTCAGGTTGAACAGGAAGAATGGTAGAGAAACCCAATGCTCGGAGCAACTTGATTGGCTTTTTCCAGTGTTTCGGACATCATCAAAGCCTCATCGCCAAGTAGCAGGGCCAGCCACATTCATCTCAACTCTGAAATTACTTGAACAATATCACCAGCCTAAAGTGTTGCAGGCCGTGTAGAAAGACTAGGAAAGTGGGTCCTCTAGGTCTCTTCTACCTTTGACACACCAGTCTCACATGAATCCTCACTTGCTGAGCACATGTTGGAAAGAGGCCCGATTCCGCTGGCAGGTCATGGCAAGTGGCCGGACGCCAAATGTGTGTCGCACACTCAAAGGACTTTTCCAACCAGCTCTTTTTGGTTCAAGGGTTGTTTTGCAGTGACATGAGTTTCAAGTGCCTGTGCTTTGTTTCTTGTCCTAGTAAAGAGAAGACACACAGTGATGGTGATGCTGATGCTTAGTGTCAATGCTGGTCGATAGTCGTGCTGATCGACTGCACCATTGCTTTTCAAGAAATCGCACATGTTCATGAGCTGGAATTAAAACCTTTGAAATCTTTGAGGCATAACAGACATGTTAGCTGAACACTTCACCTTTACTGCGTGGGTTATGAACTAAGTACCTAACGCCATCTCACGCCTGAGGCCTTACAGCAACCCTGGTGGGGAAGCTTGTCACAAGAGCCCCGCCCAGAGCTCAAGGGTACCTACAACGCACACCGGTGCAAGATGGTTGTTCTTAGATATGTTAAGTGGACTGATAAAGAAAAGCATAGGAGAGACCAGAGTCTTCCTCCAGATCCCCTAAGGCCTACACAATAAACCGAGCCAAACCGAGCTTTGCCAGTATCATCGCCGAAGTCTGCCTTCCAGGTCCTGGAGCGAGCGGAGCAGTTGGAATGCACGCATGGACAGCATGGGGATGTATGCGAGGCCGGATTTTTTGGGCAGAAAGACCAGTCACCGGGGCAAGACTCGAAAGGAGTACACCGGGTACATGTCATGCTTGACTCCGGCGAAGTGTCGTCTTTGAACTTCGGAACGGTAGAGTTGATGCGACTCCGATGGGTCTTATATGAAAGTCGAAGTGGAAAGAGATTTCGCCATCTCTGTAATTTGACCTTTCTGGGCGTTCGCCCCACGTCTGTGAGGCCTCCTGCATTCGCGGATATGCCTTAAGCCGTCCATTGCTCCTTGGCTGGTAGCGCCGGATGTGGGTGGAAGGTGGTTCCGACCCTTTTGTGTTTGCAATGTGGATCAATTGACAGGCTCGAGCTCGCTGCATCCATTTGTTTCCGTCTCCAATACACCTTTGAAGATGGGCAAGAGAAAGCTAGAAGGGTGTCACGTAGCCATATGGGGGCCGGGCGATGTCCTTTGGTCGGCTGGATGAGCGTGGATAATTCAAAGAAAGTGGGTAGAGAATGGTAGAGATCCTCTCGTGACTCAAAATAGTAGATCCTCTCAAGCAACGTGTTTCAATTATTTCTAGATGATTCTAGACGGTTGTCCAGTTCCCCCTCTTTCTTAATTCAAGATGCATGATACATCTATATATCATCATCTATCTAAGTGATGCATTGCGGCATGGGCTTTCTCATCAGCTCCTACAGAGTTCTCGAAAAAATGTTCGAAGGAATAGGTCTGGCGGCTCCGTAGTGAACCCTGGAACCGCTGCATCGTAAGGATGTGCTTGGACAGCCTTTGGTCTTCCTCCAGCTGTGAGCCCTTGTCCGCCCCTGAGCTTTCTGTGCCAATTCGTGAGCCAGTGAAACCTGCAAGGAATGGCAAATGTAGACTGTTCCACACTTGGTTCCTTTGGTCAGGCTTAGCCCACGAGCGAGCAAGTATAGCAGCGTTTCTAACCCTTTGAAGAGAGCTGGGAAGATGAAATCCGAGCCCAGGGTAGCGGTGGTTTACCACAGGGAGTGTAACTTTATGGTTCAAAGTGCGAACTATTGCCTAGCAAGGGTGAAGCATTTTTGCAGGCCTAAGTCATGAATTAGATTGGTGTGTCATTGCTATGTGCCCCGACATGTTTACAACTTCATCGCCGCAGAAAGCCTGGCATAGATCATTGGAAGCTTGTCAGACAGCTGTGTGCACAGCCGTCACTGAAAATAGCCCACTGCTGAACAGGTGATCAGATCATGTTTTAGGTATGGTCCTAAAACTTGGAGTTGCTGAAGCAGATCCGACACTAGGGAGATGCCAGACCGCATTTTTCCCAGTTCAAACAGCTCTTACACTTTTCACCAGCCATGCGATCTCGAAAGCATCGTCGCAATCGTCTCTCCGCTGCCCTCCTGCTGCTCCTCCTGTCCGTGTTGCTCGGACGCAGCCACTGGCCCTCCGCCCTGGCGGAGTTGCCTTTGAGCGCGGCGGAGCAGCGGCATTTGCACCAGGTGGTGTGGAGGAAGTCGATGGCGGCCATCGCGGAAGGGAAGATGCGGCCGGGCAAGGAGTTGGAATCTTTGGCTGGGATCGTGGGATGGTGATTGATGTTGGGTGGCCCAAAAGCTGGCAAGGTCCAAAAGAGCCATGCAGACTCAGATGAGCCTAGATGACAACCACTTCTTGCTGTGCTTGTATGTGGAATTTATATATCTGGGGTTGGGACCATTGCTCATGTGACGACTGCTCAGGTGCGAAACATGTTTGACTTCTGCATCACATGACTGTGGACGTTCAGAAAACGATTTGAACATGAAACCCATAGGAGCCCTGCAGCCCGCAGACTCCCACCGAATCCTGCAAGGAACTCATTTCCGCTTTAGATTTGGGAACAATCCCATGGAGCCACGTGCCACGGCGGCTGAAGGAGACTCTCGTTGCTTTGGGAGATCGTCACATCCTGCGGTCTAGTCCAATCAGTCTGTTGGTGATTTCTGTCAAGGCAGTGAAAACTGAAGGCGGCCCCAATGTTGCAATGAAATGCTTTGGTGCTCGGTTCTTGCTTTCTGATCTTTGGTTCTTTTGTTTTCAGAATTGAGGAGTGTTGACTCTTCCAGTTACTGGTACTTTCGGGGGTGGATCATTGACCAAAATTGAATGGTTTACCTTTGAAAACTCAGCCCTACGCCTCAACCAACTCTCGGCTGGAATCTGAAGCTTCCCAAGCAATGGTAAACATGTCCAAACCTTTTGGGGTGTGATTTCCAGAAGTGGCCAAGCAGAACATGTATGTAAACATAAGTTAAGTATAGTGTTAACCAGGTATTTTCCATGGAAAGCTGAAGGGAGAAGTGAAGCTGCCTGTCTCCTCTCCGGAGGATCACTTCGAATTGCCTTTGGGCGACCGTGGCATCGACTCCTTGGCCTTGAACCTCACCGTGGCCGTGCAAGCCAAGGACTACACCGATGGCGTGGTGCCGCTGAACCGGCCACTGGGGCCGTTCAATGCACCGCCCAAATGGAATGAGCGACCACCCCAGGTGAAAATGAGGTATTAGGATGTATTAGGCCAATAAAATCATGTCCAGTTGCATGTTGCTTCCCCTTCGTGAGACGAAGATGATGTTGGTTTGGTTGAAAGGCCCCCAGTTTGTAAAGCAAGGTGGTTTTGTGGATCTCTGGAAAAAAAGAAGACTAAAAGACCCAATTGTTGCCGTCCACACAGATTTGAGGGTTTGGTTTCACACTAAGTACATTGTCGACCGCTTGAGCTGGTGAAAGCAACTGAGCCAACGACACCTGACAAAAGAAGGTGCAACTTAAGCACTCGAAAGAGCATAAAGGTAGGGAATGGACTGTATTGCGTATCTCTCGATCGTTTGGGGAACTTGAGGTACCCTGAAAAATGGGATATGTAAAAGGATTGTGATTAGTTAGAACTGTTGTTGTTGATAAGATATGTTCAATTAACCGAAGAACCAACCAAGTTGACGTTCCTTGTTGTGATACAGGTTCAATATGCGATGAGGAATCAGACTTATGTCATAACGAGGAACCAGAAAATGCATATCTCAAAATAGAAGGACCCAAATCAATGGTTGCTGTAGTCTAGAGACCTACTGTAAGACATCTGGGGGCCCATATTTGGGGACAAAAGCTCTTGTGCATTCAAGTTGAGGCTCACCAACTTCCACTTCTGGGCTACAGCCTCACCATTGAAGAACTACCTCCAGCAGTTGGTGGTTGCCACCAGCGCGGGCACGCGGCTGCCGGAGGATTGGCAACGCAACAGCGGCGCGGAGCAGCGAGTGTATGGAGAGGAGGAGTTGGAAGAGTGGAGAAGGAGAGCGCGGTAGCTTGGATGATGAAGGGGCCAGGCCCTCAGAGTGTACTCACTGGTACTGTATACCCAAAAAAACAGGGCAAACTGGTTGTAATACTCCTGGTGCCTTTGGGGTAGGACCTTAGGTAGGTGATGTTTCGCAAGTGGTAGTAAATCCCAGAAGAGGTTTGCATTGTTTTGTAGCCTGCAAGTGTTTTGCTCAGGGTTCTGAAGCGTGGCAATTGTCAACAACCATGGAAGTGATATTCCACTTGTGTTATTTGGGGTGTATTTTGGGAGACAATGCTATTCTCAAACCTTTGTTTTTTGGAGGTGAGAGGGCCGGGCGGTGGCGTTTGTTCACAAAGGATGCAAGAACCTCCAAAGCAGCTGTCGAGACCATCGAACATCAACTCGGAACGTTGGCCACATCAGATTGAGTCTAGGCTTACATTGTCCTTCCTTTTGTCATCTGGTATTTGGCACTCGCAAGAGGGCAAGCGGCAAAATAGGATTCTTGAGGTTTTGCATGACTCTCACTCCCTCTTGTGTTATTCACGATGCACAAGCGTGGAACACTTTCCAAGCAAAGTTGTTTGAAGCACCGATGAGGAGTGTTTGAAGCATTGCAGGGCTTTTCTGAAGGATGAGACCAAGCGAGATTTCTTTGTGCAGATTGCCACAGGTGGTGGGAAAAGTCTCATAATGGCAGACCTTCTGGATGAGCTGGCTGATGGAAAGCAGGCATGTGTGGCCTGAGATTGAAAATCCAATGTTTTTGGGTTCTGCTGTAGTTCTCACTCAAAGATCCAGACTGTAGTTCAAGTTGGAAACCTAGACAGAATGAAAACAAGATCCAGAAATGTCCTTCACACTCAAGGTCTCCCAACCGTTTTATTGCTGCTAGTTGTATTTCTATGCTGATATGTTTGATTAATCTATCGCAAAGCCAAGGTGATCGTTCCAAAGCTTGACCTTATGGAACAGATCGGTCAGCTACTCGAACAGAAGTTCCCCCATCGTCACGTGTCGCGCGTGGGCACCGGATCGCCGGCGAATCTGAGTGCAGAGGTGTTCGTGTGCGTGCGCAATTCGGCCTGGCAGCTGGAGAATCTGACCCTCGACTTGTTACTACTTGATGAGGCTCACCACTATGAACCGTTTGCAGGACCAACCTGGTCAAATGAAGCCAGAATGACATTTATGTAGGGTGTTCTCAAAAATATGTCAGAACTTATTTGCCAATTGGCTGTTTTGTAAAGCTAGTTGAGCCTCTTTATTAAATTGAATGATCCTGAACATGTGTTGTTTTCTTTCTTTGCCACTCGACTCGCAGGAGGAAGTTCCGGCGCTCTTGTCGAAGATCGCGACTTCAACGGTGGAATCCACGCCAAGCGCATTCTGTCGCTTCAGGCGGCCAAGAGGATCTTCTTCAGCGCGACATTGCGGAACCCGCCGGATTTCGACTTCGGGCTGCGGCCGGCCATCCGTGCCGGGGTGATCAAAGACTACACGGTAATGGTGCCTGTGCTGACGGAGGGCGACCCCCGACCAAGCTTGGTAGAGCTGATCAAGGACATGTCTCCTGGACTGTGCTTTTGTTATATATTTGCTTGGTTTTTGCAGGCAAAGAGCCTGTCTTGATTGTGAACTGTTCTCAGGAATGGAGGGTTGGTTGATTGATTTGACAACCAGAGGCCTTTGGCAAGGAAGATCCTGGCGTTTTGCAACACTGTCCATGAGGCTCTAGACTTTACCGCTCTGTTGTCCAACGCTGGCATTGCTGCTGCCCACTATAATGCACACACATCTACATCAGAAAGGCAGAACATTTGGAATAACTTCCAACATGCTGAAGCTCATGGTGGAATCCGGGTTCTGGTGACGGTTGCTCACTTGGGAAGCGCAAGCACTATTTTGAACTGTAGTCATTCCTGGGTAGGAATCTTGTAGTGTTATGAATTCTCCAATGTGTTAGTGATGTTAGTGTAGCCACTTCTCCAGCACCGATGGAGGTTGATGTCCTGAGTGAAGGGGTGGATCTCCCGGCTGCTGACACTTGTTTGTTTGTGGCACCACGCAGGGGCATCAGACTGCAGCAATGTGTGGGAAGAGTGCTGCGAGAACATTTCGACAAAGTGGATGTACCTTTGGCATGTTTTGAGAAGTTCTGTTGAAGATAAACAATCTGATCCCTCAGACTTACGCTTTCACTGCCCTGAATTTCAGGCCTTGGTGATTGCTCCTCCCATCGTGCAATATGCCAACAGCACCTGTTTGGAAGATGCTGAGCTGAGTCACTTGCTGAGTGACCTCGCGAGTGCAGATCCAGTGTTCCAGGACTCCCTCCGAACGAATGCAGAGACACCCAACAGACGAGTCGGTGTATTGGCAACGACTGACATGCAGCCCATGCAGGTGCAAAGTATGTTGGAAGCTGCAGCTGAGGTTTTGCGAGTTCACGTGATTCCAAATGTTTTGGGAAGGTGTCATCTGTATTCAAGGTGGCAGAAGGGAGTGCAAAAGCTCCAAGCCTTTAAAAACTCGCATGGTCATACCAGGGTGCCCCAGATGTATGTGACAAGTGACGGCATCAGACTCGGGTGGTGGGTCAGCACACAGCGCGTGAAGAAGTCCAAACAGAAACTTACCAAAGAGCAGGTCGAGCAACTTGAAGA